CTGCAATGGGTAAACGTATTCACAGTTATATTTGTGTATTTCTGTATAGAACATGACCACAACATAGAAACAAAATCTGTTCAAATAGCTTGGAGTAAAATACCTAGCGTAAATGCTTGGTTCCTCTTTTTTACTTCACTTAAATTGTTTTAAAATTATATTTACATATTTGAGAGCGTAAAAGCATGATAATTGATTTCGACGCCCGTAAACTGTGAAGTGGCTTTAATGTATTCGCCTCACGCAGCTGGCGCGTTAACAGATTTGCCGTGTTCTTCTAGGCTGAATGAGGGAAAATCACAAAGATATCAGAATATGTTGGCGCGAAGGCGGACTTTGTCAACTTAGAGACTTTTATATATTTGTGGAGAATAAATCCTTATGAATAAATAAAGCGCAGCGAAAATGCTTAGCAACTTTTTATTTTGGCAAGAAGCTGTAAAAATGCCACAAAATAGCTGCGGCGGCATGACATGAATATGATTATGATGCCAAAGATGAAGATGATGAACATGATCATGATGATCAAAATTTTCATTTCCACCCACTGGCGTTTAGCTGACCTTTTGGGACTTCGCACGCTAAGTGGCTGACAAATTTTTTTGATCGCTGCAAAGTGAATCCAACGGAAGTTCAACGCACCCATGAAGAGAATTTCGTAAACTTCTGTTCTAGAAATGCTAATTTCATAATTACGTTTTATTATAATTCATAACGATTTGCGCTTCGTTCATTGTTTTCGCAGACTCGACTGCAGAACAGGCGCCGCGAAGACAAACAAAAACTTTTACAGACCTCTCAACTTTTTAATGTCCTTGGGCCGAGCATTTAAGGCAAACAGCAAAAAAAGAAAGGAAAAAACTTTTTCTGATTGTCTTTTGTTCGCATTGAGAAAATAATTCCTTTTCAGGCATTTATTCTTTTTCTTTACATTCAGCCGGATTGCCCCAATTTTGTGGTTGACACAATGGAAGTGTTAATAAAATAACTGTACAATTGCACAATGTGAACAAAATGCCGCGAGTGAATGAAAACTGAACAAGCAGAAAGCGGGGTATAAATCGAGCATAATTCAAATTAATATGGAGACAAGAGAGGTGGAATTTTCAATGCTATGCTGTCTGAAGCTATGCTAATTGCGATAACTATATGCAAGCAGGTTTTTCAGTTATCGATAACAACTTAATTTGCATTTAATTGTATATAAATTAGGCTTTATCTCTAAATTACTATATGTAGTAATGCATGGGACCATAATCTAAATATTTGTTGTTTTCGATAGGCCTAAGGCAGCTCTTATTTTAGCTATCGATAACATATTAGTTCAAATTGACTCGGCATTAAGAAAAGTTTTATAGCCAATGTCAACACTACAGTCATATGGTGTAAGGTAGTTTAACCAGATTGATATTTTTATCGATAGCTAAGCGTATGAATTTAGCTATACGTTAGTTATAAGTTATCGATAACATATATACATATTATATAGATATATTTATTATATGATAGCTCTACTTCAATATCAAACAATGTATTATTGATATTGAGTCATTCTTTATTTGATAATTATATACCAGCACCTGTTTAAATTATTGATAGGCTCAGATACTTAGATAGTTCTGGAAATAACGCCTGAAGCTCCATAAACATGTCAGATTTCTTACAGATTTAACTTTATAATAAAACTATTGCTTTATTATATTATTGGTATTTATTTTATCTTTTATATTATCGATTATAATTATATCTTAATCTACTCAAATTTGTATTATCCTATTCCACAGTAATCATTTTATCAGCTAGATTAATGGGCCAAAATAATTAAAGATTATCTTTACTAGTAAACCTTTGCTAGTTAACCAAAGACAGTTAATCTTTTCATTTTATACCTATTTAATGTTTTTTTTTTACAGTCGACTTTTTATAGTGTAGCTGCATAATTTGGAGCATGGCACACGGCAGGTGTAGCAGATTCTTAAGCAACGAGAGCAATGAAAAGAATTCATCAGGATTCAATTACCAGATGCGCTGCCCTCGAATAAAAAGAGTGCAACATTGTGCTGCCTGCAACGTGGTGCACACATACGAATACGAATTTGCACCGGTTACAAGGCTGTCAAGGGGAAGTCGGCTTTACGACCTTTGCGGGGCATCCTTAAGCTGCTCTCTCATTTCTTGACTTTCCATTTAGTGTGACACTAGACGCCATCTCCCT